GTTTTGCTATCATGGATAAAGCTTCTATATGACTTTTTCTAGAGATCTTTTTTTGGAAATCTAAGCATTCCTTTACCTTGTGTTTACATAGGACAGGAGTTGCTAACATATCATATCTATTTATATTATATATTATATATAATACATAACTATATTTTTAAAAATATGTATTTAGCTTCCATAGACCCTGCCAATCTCAGAATACTGCTTTCATATGAGATTTTATAGTTGTTAAATTTGCAGTACCACCAGTAGTGTATGGGAGTTCCAGTTGCTCCATGTCCTCATCCACATTGATTAGTTTCAAGCTCTTTGATTTGACCATTCTTGTACGTAGGTAGTGATATCTGAGTATTCCTTTAATTTGCTTTTGCTGAAATAGCTGGGCTGTTAGCTCACTTGAGAGAGTGTGCTGCTGGTTACAGCTAAGTCCCTGGCTTAGGATCCCTGTACCAGCCAGCCACCAAAAATAGAAAGAAAGAAAGTAAGAAGGAAGGAAGGAAGGAAGGAAGGAAGGAAGGAAGGAAGGAAGGAAGGAAGGAAGGAAGGAAGGAAGGAAGGAAGGAAGATATTGAGCACCTTTACATACGATTATAGATCCCTTAGTTGCCCCTTGTTTTTAAGTGCCCATTCAAGTATTTTATTCATTTTTAATTGGGAAAGGAATATTTTATTATTGATTAGCAGTGGCTCTTTAGAAGGAAATCCTTTAGAGTTTATAACAAAAGTTTTCTTTATGTGTAGGTAAAGGCTATTATTATTTCAAGTGTGAACACATTTTTTTCATTCCTACCCATCATCATAGAGTGCATTGGTCCATTTCTGTTGCTTAGATGATCTGAAAATGGGTATAAATAAATTTATAGGAAATAAAATTTATTTCTTACCGTTTCAGAGGCTGGGAAGTCTAAAGTCCTGGGAACACATCTTGTGGGTGGTGACTATATGGACATGGGGAATCACATGGCTTTTGGGCTGAGCATGAAAGAGCTAACCTCCTCACTTTCTCCTCTTTCAAAGCCATCAGAATCCTGCCTATTACTCCATGCATGGCTCAATCCATTCACAAGAGCACATTCCTCACAATCTAATCACCTCTCAAAGGCCCCATGGTTCAATTATCATAATAGGATTTCCCACCTTCTTAACACTATTACAATGGAGGTCGAGGGTTTTTTTTAACTGAAACTTTGGGGTGGGAGACACATTTAATCCATAGCATAGAGTTATTCAACACTTACTCCTAAGTAAACTTTCTTAAAGTGGAATAAAGGAGAAAATAAAAAGATCATTGTTCAATCTACTTTGGGTATAACAACTGAGGATAAAACCAGTGCCTCTACCTCTACAAAGAAATTCTGGCATATAATTCAGCAATCCTGAGTATATATCCATAGGAAAGGAAATCAGTATGTCAAAGAGATATCTGCTTCCCCTTATTTCATCACAATTCACAATAGCCAGTATGTGAAATCAACCTAAGTGTCCAACAACAAATGAATAGGTAAAGAAAACATGATATATATACACAACGAAACACTATTCAGCCATTAAAAAAATGAAATCCTGGAAGGCATCATGTCTACTGAAATAAGTCAGGCACAGAAAGGTAAATACAACCTGTTCTTCCTTGTATGTAGGAGCTAAAATAGTTGGGCTCCTAAAAGTAGAGAGCAGAACTGCAGTTACTAGAGGCTTGGAAGGGAAGGGGAGATGAAGAAATAGGTTAGCTAACCTATTTTTTATAATAATAATAATAATAAATACATCTTATTAGCTGTTTCAAGTTCAGATGAGAAATAAGAATGAAACAATATTTGGATAAAAGAGATATGGCGAATGTGGTTTAAGTTCTCCTCCATAAATTGAAAGGCATATTAAGTAATTTTTCTGTCTTAAAAAGGTAGCTTACTAAGGTGTAGTCAAAGTACTGGAAAGATTGTGGCAGCTATGATAGTTAACTATCTATTTACTTAGAATTCATTTATAAGTTTAATAAACAATTTTTAAATAAGAATGAAACAATATTTGGATAAAAGAGATATGGCGAATGTGGTTTAAGTTCTCCTCCATTAATTGAAAGGCATATTAAGTAATTTTTCTGTCTTAAAAAGGTAGCTTACTAAGGTGTAGTCAAAGTACTGGAAAGATTGTGGTAGCTATGATAGTTAACTATCTATTTACTTAGAATTCATTTATAAGTTTAATAAACAATTTTTAATGCCCTAGTCTGTTGTTTAGAAAAACAAACATTAATTTTAAATAGTTTATCTTTAATAAAATATTTGTAAATGTCACAAAAATCCAGAAGCATATTTAAAGTCCTGCAAATTAACTAAGTTGTTAGTGGTCCAAGTCAAGAGACAGGTGCCACATAAAGATTAATCAAGTATAATGTCAACCTTGGATCTGGCTGAATAACTCAATGAAGTAAGCTGAGGAACTCCATGAAGCCCAAGCCAAATCTCCACACATTTATTTCTCAACTCTGTGTCATTTCACAATTGTGCCTTCATTTTGAAAACTTTGAAGACAACCTCAATTTTTTTTAGCTTTTCCATCATTAAAATATATATATTTTATTGGTTATGAATTTTCATGAGATGCAAAGCTGATTGTCACCTCTCGTGCCCAAGATGTGAAGGCCAGATCCATACAAATTTTATTTGTACCCCTTGTCCCCCACCCAATTATCCCCCATCTCTCTCCCCCTCCCTCGTCCCCCATTCTGTTTTGTATCCCAAGGTATGTTCTCTCCCCCTGCAAGTCCAACCTCAATTTTAAGATACATTTTTAGCTTTTCAGAAAGTCCTAGGATCTGGTGTATGTTTTTAAAAATGATACCTTCACACAAAATTTCAGTTAGATGGAAGGAATAGTTCAAAAGATCTATTGAGCATCATGGTGACTACAGTTAATAACAATACATTGTATACTTAGAAATTGCTAAGAGAGTAGATTTTAGGTGTTCTTAACAGAAAAAAATGATAAATATGTCAGGTAGTACATATGTCAAATAATTTGACTTAGCCATTCTACAATATGTGCATATAGTAAAACATCATGTTGTATGCCATAAATATATACAATTTTTACTTATCAATTAAAAATATTTTAAAAAAAGAACTCATCAGATATTGGGGAAGACATTTGAACATCAAATGTGTTCAAAGAAACCACAAAGAAAAATATTAAAAATTTTAAATTCTTTATTTTCTAAAAGAATATTTCTGAGATTATAAGGAAGACACAGACTTGGAAATAAAAACATCAAACATGTACTAATATGTTCAACAATAGTGGGAATATAGAACTGTGATCAAGAGATCTAAATTCTAGTCTCACACCTGCTTCTTAATGACTGTGACCTAAGACAAATGTCTTAACCTCTCTGAGACTCATCTTCCTCAAATGGAAAATGTAGTTCTTCCTATTTCTGAAAACTTCAAAAGATTGTTGTTAGAATCTCATGAGATCATGTAAAACAGTTTGAAGATTGTAAATGCTGTATACATATTGCAAGGTATTATCATAAAAAATAAAATAAATAAGAATGATACCTATGAGCTAACCTGTATAATTAACAATAATTTACTGCATGTTATCAAATGTCTAGAAGACAAGAGATGGCATGTTCTCATCAAAAAGAAATGATAAAGTTTGATAATAATGAATATGCTAATTATCTTGATTTGATCATTACACATCGTATACTTGTATGAAAATTCAACACTGTACTCTACAAATATGTATAATCAATATGTTTCAAAAATAAATAAATAAAATATCCATATTAAAAATAAAAGAAGGTACCTTAATGAAATATTATCACATAAGTAGGGAGTAATTAGAAATTGCTTGAGAATAAATGGGTACAGAATGGAAATAGAAAAACAGAGAGAAAGATATTATGGTAAATATAGGAAGGTAGAAACAAAGGAGCATTGATTGAGTTATGTAAATGGAAGCCAGAAGGGAATAAATATTGTCAGCTTTAAACTTTTACCAGGATGTTTTTAGTAGGTATTGAGAGGATGGGAAGAAGAATGAAGGTTGAAGTGAAAATGAAAGTAGGGATCATACATGCATTACTGAGGAATGGCAAGGAAGGGAAGAAATTCGCTGGAGCATGCAAACACATAAAGGCAGATGCAGTCTACGATTTTAGTAGGACTTTGATTAAAGCCAAATATGGAGCAGAGTTGTAGGATTTGAAATGAAAACTGAACTATTACTCTGATAAACCTGCTTATTGGATGGATTTTGTGCCATCAATTTCTAAAATTAGTTGTTACACATATTACCACCAAAAGGTTCTGAAGCTGGTGTGTAAAACCAAAAATATCATATAGTTTATTATAAATAAAATGTTAAAAATCAGTATGTAACTTCTCTATTTGGATCTATTGGCTATTGTACAACACAGACCATTAAAGCCTCTTTGACTTTAAATGTTTTCATATATTGTGAACATAGGTACTTTCTTAAGTTCTCACTGATAAATAAGTTTGCTTTTTGAAAAGTATAGATTTAACAACTGTAAATTGAGAAAATAGCTGTGAATTTAGTTAGAGATGGAGTTATCAATTCAGAAGATAACAGAAAAGATAAAATGTTTAATTATAAAAGGAATACCATCAAACGCACATGATGTAATATACCTGGTAATGAGCAATTCTATTTGGGGTTTGGAATGTGCATATTTGGAAGAGTCAGCCCTTTCTTCTCATAAAAGCAAAGCAATACCTTCAAGAACAACCTAAATATGACTTTAAGCAATCTGAAATATTTTAATGAGAATGAGAGTCTCTCTCTGTCAGGAGATAGCAGAGCAACGAGTTGTACTATTCAAAGTAATACATAGAATGACACAAAAGAAGGGTATGCACGGGATTTATTACATCTCTGACCAAGGTATATAAGCATCCATCTACACATGCTGACATTCACACTCTGAATCTTTCCTTGGACAGCAAACCAAACTCATCATCCCTGACACTATGAGCTACTACGGCAGCTACTATGGAGGCCTGGGCTATGGCTATGGAGGCTTCGGTGGCCTGGGCTATGGCTATGGCTGTGGATGTGGCAGCTTCTGTAGACTGGGCTATGGCTCTGGCTATGGAAGCTGCAGATACAGCTGCTGCCAACCATCTTGCTATGGAAGATACTCAAATTATGGATTCTACTGAAATCCTACCCTGAGAACTCAACTGAGGTCAAAAGAAGATTACCCAAACCTGACTGCAATAACTTGACCGACAAGATCACCCTGAACCAAGCCGAGATCAACAGCATTTAGCATCTACGATTTTAAGATTATTTATCATTCCATAATTGTCTGCTTCATGTCTCCCGATGTCCCTTATTTGTGCTTTCATAACTGTGTGATTTCTCTGTTCCTTTTGAAATAAATTATCCTAACTTAAAATGGCATGTGTGGCTTTTTTTTTAAAACTCAGACTATCAAAATGATTATTTGTAATCATACCCAATTGACAGTGATGAAAACAAACTACCACTATAGTGTACACTATATATAACAAAATAACATGTACCCACTCATACAGCTACATATGTATGTAAACCATTACAATCAATTGAAAGGAAGCTTCTTCCTTCCTAACACTAGCCCATATCTTTTTCATTTTAATGCTTTTAGTTAGATAACATTGGTATTTAAATTCAGCACTGAAATATCAACTTTATAAACGCTCATATCTAAATTGAAGCCAACGTGAATAATATGCACTTTTACCTTTTGTTCAAAATTTGTGTCTGGCCCCTTTTATGAAAATATAATTAGTGATAAAACAAAACATATTGCTAAATATACGCTGAAAATGAACCTTTTGTGACTCCCTGTTAAGTTTCTTCCTGGTTCGCTCTGGTGTTACATGGTATTGTTTTTCCATATTATCAGTATAGTGAAATATTCTGTAATTCGTCATGAAAATGTAAAAATCACTGTTACCACTTGTGCAGTAATTTATATTGAGGCTCTGTACTTCCCTTCTTTCATGCTGTCAAATGAAGCATCTTGAAAGTTCTGTTCATGTGTCTCTGAAGAGTTTAATTATTATGGCTAATTGTCCACCTCTATTTATTTTGATTTTTAAATATTCTGTTGTAGAATCTTTAACTTATCAATTTCTAATTAGCTTTATCTGTGTAAAGATAACTAAAACAGTGCCAAATCCAAACTCTATTTTAAAAAGTTGTCATTATGCATTTTAAGACCTCTGACTTGTTAACTAGACGTATGGATGGGTTTGCTCAGTCAGGTAGTATGACCAATTCTTTCATTCAGTGCAAGTGAGGGGTTGTAGTTTCACAATGAATACATCTGGGTAGATAAAGGCCCATATTACCATTGGAAGACAATACTATTTAGTTGGCCTGAGTAAAACAAAATTTCATATAATTTCATATTTTACTCCCTAAGTGGTTAATGGCTTCACAGCCTGAAGAAAGACATTCTATGTCTAAAGAAAAACAATACAACTAATATAAGTATTTGGAGAAAGTATTTAATACTACTACTCTAATGCAGTCTTATCATTTCATTATACCTTAATTGTTAGATTGTGTTGATTTGTGTCAGAATTAATAGAACAGCTCCAGCATACATTTCCTTTCAAGGAAAAGCTGTCACCCAATCTACACAAAATGCATCAAAGAATCATCAGACCTACAAATGAGGAATATCTGGGAGGGTAAAATAAGCAGTGTAACTTCATTAAACCTGTTTGATCTATTTGTGATTTTATAGCTTCCAGTTGACTTAATGAGATTTAAATATTCACATAAATAACTGTTTTTTAGTATAAGATGCACTATAAAAAACAAACAAAAAAAACCCAAAAAAGTTCTGAAGAAACCAGACATAAAGATTACAAAAAACCAAAAAAGTTCTGAAGAAACCAGACATAAAGATTAAGATATGAGTTAGTCAAAAGTTTCTTAATTAGGACAAAAAAGCATTAAACATATAAGAAAAATATTAAAAACCCAAAAAAGTTCTGAAGAAACCAGACATAAAGATTAAGACATGAGTTAGTCAAAAGTTTCTTAATTAGGACAAAAAAGCATTAAACATATAAGAAAAATATTAATAAATTGGATCTCATTATATTTAGAAATTCTGTTCACATATAGACACCATTTTTAAGTAAGAAAAAAACACAAACTGGAAGAAAATATTTTAAAAACACCTGTACTCGAGTACAAGAGTACTTCAAAAAGTTCATGGAAAAATAGAATGTAAAGATAATACAAATCTTTACATGAAGTTTTTGAAGACCACTTGTATGTAAAGAACTTCTACATGTCAATGATAAATATTATGAACCCACTTAAAAATGGTCAAAATACTTGAGCAGTCACGTCAAAAGAAAAAGAAAGAAAGAGATATGTAAATGGACAGCAAGCATATAAAATTCTTCCCAATATCCTTACTTATCAGGTCAAAAACAAAATAAAACACTACTCAGATACTTCTTCTACATTCCCACAGGATAATCAACATGAAATAGTCTGAAAATGAGAAGCTTTGTCAAATATGTGCAACAACTGTAACATTGCTGGTGAGACTGTAAATTTAAAAACTGTTTGGAAAACTATTGACAAGATCTAATGAAGCCATTATTAAAAGCTAGAAGAATAGTTATCTCTAGGGAGTAATCTGACCAAAAAGGGGCAATAGAAACATTTTGGGGACTAGGGCATGCTCAGAGTAGGCAGTGTACACATACATATAAAAATTCACTAATCATATATTTAAATTTATATTAGGATATTATTCATTATAGTATACATTACACATCAAAAAAAAGGAGGTAGTGAAAATGCAATGAAATGAAGATTATATGTTCTTCCAAATTTAGAAGCCATTCAACTCTAAATTCAGGAGCCATTTAAGCAGCTCATTCCTCCTTAAAATCCTTTTTTTGTTCAGATGCAGTCAGACAATTACTCGTGCCTCTGAGAGGCATGATGCTTACCGTTAAGTACTTCAGAATTCATTCATCCATTCAGCAATTATTTACTGGGTTACTACTACAAGGTAGTTATTGGAGATAGATAAACAAATCTATTTGTAAAAATGCACCATTCAAAAATTACTTATAAGCCTAACAACAGCAACAAAAAATGAGCACTGTATTTGAGGTCATATCAAGTTAATAAGAACTTAAAGGCTCAAGGTTAAAGTTAAGGGTACAATGGAAGAATTTAACTACAGCTCTGGCTGTCACCAACTTTTCAGAGTCAGCTGAAGAAATTTTGCCCTCGGGTATCGTTTTTACACCCCTTGTCTTTTAATATTATACCTACATTTTGGAGATTCTGAAGATATTTCTAATATTAAAGATATCTTACTAAATTTCATAAAGCCCATGGATTTGAATTAACTTTTTACATCTAATACCTTCCTAAACATGTAACAGCTTTGTAGACTAGTATGGTATTTCCTGAGAAGAAGAAAAACAGAAACAAAAACAAAAAAACAACCACCATACAATCGATGAAGAGAACACAAAGGCAAACTGTCATGGTGAAATTGAACCTATAAGAGGAATTCAGAGGAAGAAATTAAGTTCAGATTGAATGAAACTTTAAATTGAATGAAACACACAAAAACACATTTTACAAATTTCACAATTTCATCTAGTCCACCATAGCCTGATGGCTAATAGGAGTGCAGAGGCTGGGTAGAGTTTTAATAGTATTATAAAATAGCTATTAGAATGGCCTACATTTAAAATACTGACAAGGACTAATGCTGGTGGAGCAAAAGAACTCTGACTCATTGCTGAGGGGAATGCAAAATGGTATAGCAACCTTGGAAGACAATCTGGCAGTTTCTTACCAAGCCATACAATTCAGCAATTGCACTCCTCAGTATTTATCCAAATGAGATGAAATAATGTCCATACAAAAACCTAAACACAAAGGTTTGTAGTTTTATTCATAATTGCCAAAACTTGGAAGTAACCAATATGTCCTTCAATAGATAAATGGGTAAACAAACTGTGGCACATCTACACAATGAGACAGTATCCAGTGATCAAAAGAAGTGAACTATTAAGAAAGGAATCTTTAAAAGCATATTGCTCGATGAAAAAATTCAGTGTTGAAAGTCCACAATACTGGGTGATTCTGAGAATGTGACATTCTGGAGGAGGAAAACTATGTAGAGGAAAACAGATTAGTATTTTCCAGGAGGTTGGGAGAAATGGGGAAAGAGTAGATGAAGCACAGGGGATTTTCATGGCAGTAAAAATTTTCTGTATCATACTGTAATAATAGTGATTACATGACTTTATAAATTTGTCAAATCCCATAGAACTGAACAACACAAAGAGTGAATTCTAATGTAAACTAT